TCTTTAGTGACGAAAAGAAATTTAATCTTGATGGCCCTGATGGCCTTAAGTATTATTGGCACGACCTATGCAAGGAAAAAAACGAGTTTTTTTCAAGCGGCAATCAGGTGGTAGCAGCGTCATGGTGTGGTGCGCATTTAGTGCCAAGAGAAAGACAACTCTGGCCATATTGGAGGGCAATCAAGATAGCGCTGCGTACGTGGAGACGTTGTCGGACCATCTGTTCCCCTACATCGACTACCATTTTGGCCTCGAGTGCGATTTCCAACAAGACAATGCCTCTTTTCATGGATGCAAAGAGACCAAGGAATTCTTGGAGGCGCACAACGTACGCGTTATGGAGTGGCCAGCGAAGTCCCCGGACTTAAATCCCATTGAAAACATGTGGGGTATCCTTGCACGTGCTGTCTGCGCACCGGGACGTCAATTTGCATCGAAAACGGACCTCATTGCTGCCATTTTGAAAGCATGGGATGAGATTGGGCAAGACCTGATTGAAAAGCTGTTGCGGTCGATGCAGAAGCGTTGTATCAGTGTCTTGGAACTCAAGGGGGGTAAAACAAAGTATTGATAGCTATTTTGATGGTAATCGATATGCAATAATGCTTTTTTCATGTGGTGGTGTTATACTTATTGCCAGCCAAAAATATCTGATCTTATCATAGCGTGATTTTGGATGCTAGAATGGACATATTTGTTGTTCTTACCAGGCTAAATTTCGTATTAAATCACTTGAACAATGTCGTGGAATCGTGTTATCGCATGGTGCTAATGTAACCGACAAACTTTGGGGTGGTCTTAAACTTATTGCCAGCACTGTATGTAAGTACTAGTACATTTTTACACGCTTTGTCGAGCCTTGAACAATTGTATCTCAAAACAGATTATTGCCTTGACAATGGATATACTTCCATGTACTCGAGTAGAGAATTTCACCAAAAATCCGATTTTACAGTTAATCCTTAGAGAGTCCTAATTAATATCTTAGAAGTTATGGTCCAAAATAGATCAGGAATGATGCTCAATTTTCGCTGTGCTTCTGTATAATTTCTGTACTAAGCTTACTGTAGTACAGTACACCTATACCTGATATCTTCTGAACGTATCGGGTTATAGAGGTTTAGATGGAGATATGTGATACAGCAAATACGACAATACCTGTACAATATAAATAATACTTGTACGTAACCGGTAAACCTATCAATCATTTGAGTTTTTCGGCCTTCCATCCGGATACTATTACGGATACATAATGTATAATAATTACAGTAACTGTAACTTTCAAACAACGTTGTGTCGTCTCATCCTGCCCACGTCATGCTGCAGCTGCGCAAGAAAGGTGGTGGCAAGATGGATGTCAACGCAACGGACGGAGAGCGAGGAAACGTGCAGGCCGCGGGTGGTGGTCCCATGACGTCTCTGTGGTCTAGGGTGAGCTGGAAGAAACCACTGAGTCTCACCTACGCCGAGGAGTCGTCCGAGAACCCGCACTTGGAGCGAACGTTGGGCTGCTTTGATCTGCTCATGATTGGTATCGGTGGTACCGTTGGTAGTGGTGTCTTTGCCACGGCAGGCTTGGTACCTTTATCTCCACAACTCCTCGAGGTCTCATCCGACAAGTAGATTGCCAAGTCGTACGCAGGCCCTGCGGCCGTGCTGAGTTGGATCTTGGCCGGGTTTGGATGCATCTTAAGCGGTGCGTCGTTCATGGAGCTCAGTGGACTGATCCCTTCAGCCGGCAGTACCTACGCATACGCATATCACTCCCTTGGTGAAATGCCAGCCATGATTGCTGGGTGTCTGCTCACCCTCGAATATGGCGTCGCCAGCGCAGGCAGCGCGCGCAGCTGGAGCGACAAGTTCCAGTCGTGGCTGCGTCAGATGGGCGTGGAAGGGCCGGTGTGGATGAAGCCGAAGGACAGCTCTATCGACCTGTACGCTGGCCTGCTTATGGTAACGCGTCTGTTTGCTCGCCATGTGGGGCCTATTCCTGCTTGTCTAGTCGTTGTGTGTGGGCATCGTCCTCTGCGGCATGTCTGCCGGCAAACAACTGATCAACGTTGTCACAGTCACCAAGATATCTGTGGTGCTGTTCATCATTGTCGTGGGTCTGACCAAGTTTGATTCGTCCAACATGGACCCGTTCATTGCTCCCGAACACATCAACGCCGTCGATCAGGTCGTGTTTGGGTGGCCAGGGGTCATGCTCGGGGCGAGCGCGAGTTTTTATGGATACATTGGATACGGTACCAATATATATTTATATAAATGGCATATTAGTGTGAAACCAGTCGAAATAGTGGAAAAACATGCAAGTCGCCGAATTGTTTTCCTTTTGTAATGTTATTGTGTTTATGCTGTTTGTTCTACGCATAATTGCCTCTGTCGGTTGGTTGAATATGAACCAACCATATATATGCCAGACCCAAGAAATATGTATATAGATAGATAGATATCCAAGTGTACAGCTTGTGAAGGCGGATATTTGGGAATAATCATTCGTTTTGGCCAATCATATTGCAACATTGATTCTTTTTATCCAATCATACTTCTTGGCTTGAATTCTTGGTGGTTTCAAAACAATCCCCAAACTTGCGCATTTAGTTAACGTATGCATTGTATCCGTAGATGAAGTGTGCTGTTTGGCTGCCGAAGCCAAGAATCCTACGCGCGACATCCCCCGCGCTGTGTTTGGGACGGTGGTGGGGGCCGCCTTCCTCTCGACTTTGGCGACTCTGTCCCTTGTGGGCATGCAAAAGTACACTGAGATTGACGTGGCCGAGTCGTACGGCACAGCTTTACGGCATGTACGTTGGATTCAGAAATATATATTCTCGAACCTCATAAGAATATATATATTTGAGATTTTAATGCCCCATAACAATATATATATGCTTAATATATACACTTTAGGTGGGGTATCATTGGGCAGCTCCGATTGTCGAAATTGGCGAAGTGTTTACGATGCCTGTGGGTATTTTGATTGGATTCCTCGCCCAACCTCGTGTTCAAGTATGTAAAACTATATATTTTTATTATATTCGTCTTCTTTATTATTAGAACCACGAGAGCGTCGGTCTTGTGTCAAGAATGTATGACGTATACGATTCTTTATAGTACGCCATGTCGAAAGACGGACTACTTCCAGCTTGTTTTAGCTCCCTGGACAAGCACGGGAATCCCTTTTATGGTATACTAGCATATATATATACCATACTCCCTTTCTCTCTCTCTATATATATATATAAAAATTATACATGTGTATATATGTATATATATATAGAGAGAAAGGGAGTATGGTGTCGTGAATGAAAACCGGATCCTCATCCTAACACAAGTACACACACAAAATATGCGACAACGTAGGCACGCTCATTGCTGGGTTTGGATTGATTGGTATTGCCGTGTGCATCCCGTTCAAGTACCTGTGGGACTTTATTTCGCTGGGAATTCTGCTGGCATTCAACCTGACCAACACTTGTCTCTTGGCGGTGCGGTACAAATCGTGTTTGTATACCCCAGCGTGTATCAACTCTGCGTCGAACCCTACCGCAGCCGTCGTCGCGCTCTTTCTGGGTGTGAGCTGGTTGTCTGCGTACCACATCCAAGAGAGCTTGCTGGCCCCTCGGGGGTCCACCGACCATTGGTACATGCACACATATGGCCCTGTGGCCGCGGCGGTGTTTTCGGTCGCTTCAGGTAGGTATATATATATATGCCGTGAAAATGGCTGGAATGCGCTGTGATTCATGTGTTTTTGAGCGATATTTGTTTTATTTTCAGGTCGATATGCTTGGTTTTTGGCAAAATAAGCAAGGGTTGCTGACGTGGCAAAGCTAGAAAGCTTTTTTTGATTGGCCAATTCATTCGTGTTGTGTGATTGGATTAATGGATCGAGTCGATCTCGAGGATGGATGTCGAATCGAGTTGATAACCTGGCTTTGGTTCACAAATATTTTTAATGGTTTAGAATCCAGTTATTTCTGAGCATAATACGCGGTAGGGCTGTGTGTGGCGGTGCTGGCACATGCCAACCATCCGATCCAGCTCGTCCCAAAGCAAAGCCCTGACAACGACGACGACGACGAGCCCACGAGTCCATCGGTGGAGACGACAGCGTCCATAGATGAGGAAGACCACGAGGTGTGATATAAATGAATCATTTAATTATTATTGTCCATATACTGTGCATGTCATCCAAATTTGATTGATTTTTCGGCTGATTCTTTGCCAAATCTATCGATATATCGATTCATTGTCATGACTTTTGTATGTAAAGATTGTCCGGTATCATACTAATTTCAGTCATACACTAATTCGGTGTTGAATTGTCGAAGATTGGCCACTTGATTGGTGTTGTGGGTTTTGATTGGTCGCATATCGATTGTCTGCCGATGTATTTGGTGATTCTGGTCCTTCGATTGTGCGCACCCAAACACTCCAATTTCGAATCGACTTGACAATACCTAGATGATTCCCTCAAAGTATCATGGACACTGTACTGTAGGATGACGACGTAGCAAAGAAGCAGCATCCCCACCAGGCCACGCCATTCCACGCCCCGTTCGTGCCTGTGTTTCCGTGCTTGGCGATTTGGTTCAATTGGTTCTTGGCCGTTCAAATTCCGTTGATGATTGTGTCCATCATGGCGCTGTATGTTGCCGTAGCGTGCGGAGTCTACGGCCTCTACGGCCTAAGAGGGCGCCATAGTTTGAGCAGCCAGCACCTGGGCGGCCAGTATGCCATAGTTCCCGAAAGTCCTTGAAAAGTACTAGTAACTCCTTCGAAACACAAGCAATTCATACGACCGATAATGCGATAACGTCAAAGCATGGAGTTCTAACGTGGTGATCAACGGTATTTCCGCAGCCACTGTATAAGACGAATAACAAATGGCCATGTGCACTTTACACTCGTAAGAGGAAAGTGGAATAGTAGGGTGATTCACAATTGTAGTTGCCATGAAGCAACTACAGTACATACATGTACTACACGTACACTTTGTAGTACTTACTGTAGTACTCCGGAGTATTAATACTAGTAGTATTGTAGTACTGTATTATCCTTTTAACTTGGACTTTTGACCTGATTCGCCAAATCTAATCGATATACTCCCTCCGTGTCACTGGGAACGACGGAATGGTTCACCAAATTTTACTTCGAAAACCTGGCCTCAAATGTCATTGATTGGTTAATTAACTTCGAAATTCGTGTCATAATGTGACCAATCAGACGACATTTTTGCAGGTTATTAAATTGTGCAGCCGCGATTGAGTGTCTTGTTTCCATTCGTGAGCTGTACAATTAATTAATTATCACTTTCGACAGATTATGCAAATTAGAAGTATGGATATCGACCGAATTGATGAGCAATGTACAAAGATAAGCGTTTGACGCGGTGGCGCAATGGTTAAGACGTCGGTTGGAGAAGTACGGGGGCCCGGGTTCAATCCCGGGTGCGTCAAACTTTTTTCCATAATTATTTCCAAAATATAAATAATGATCTCAATACAGTATGTAAAGTCGATAAAACTTATTTAAATGTAATGCATTTTTATTCAAATGAATTTCAACATGAATGGCTATGGCTGCTCAATGTTCGCTGCTGGTGCGGGAATCGCCTTCTCAAAGCTTCTTCGAATCTCGGACGCTGAAACGCGATCCCATGCCAAGATCGCCCGCTTGATCATTGCCACC